GGAATCTGAATAATGGTGACCACTATCATAAATACACAGGAAAGAGAAAAACCAAATGCTAAAATAAAAATGACAGCAAGAAAGAGAAATAGGCTAAATCACCCCACCTTAAATCCCAACTAGCATTAAAGAAGAGAAGTAAAAGGGGAAATAATTATCAAAAGATATTTTAACCATCTAAACAAGAAGCAATTAAATGACAGGAATTAAACAACACCTGTCAATATCTACCCTAAATGTGAATGGACTAAACTCCCCATTCAAAAGACACAGATTGACTGATTGGATTATAAAGCTAGACCCAAGTATATGCTGTCTTAAAGAGGTCCTCCTCACCTCTAGAGACACATGCAGACTAAAAGTGAAGGGATGGAAAAAGATCTACCATGAAAATGCAAACCCAAAATGAACAGGAGTAGCTATTCTTACATCAGACAAGATAGACTTCAGACCAAAAAACATAAAAAAAGACCAAGAAGGCCACTATATACTGATAAAGGGATCTATCCATCTAGAAGACATAACAATCATTAACATGTTTGCAACCAATACTGAAGCACCCAGATATATAAAGCAAACACTCTTAGACATAAAGAAATATGACTTAATACATTAATACTGGGTGATCTGACAATACTGGAGCACCCAGATATATAAAGCAAGCACTCTTAGACATAAAGAAATAAATATGACCTAATACATTAATACTGGGTGATCCGAACACCCCTCTCTATATGGGACAGATCTACCAGGTAACAAGTCAACAAAGAGACACAGGATTTAATTTATACCATAGACCAACTGGACTTGGCAGATATATACAGAACATTTCACCCAATAACTAAAGAATAAACTTTCTTCTCATCAGCTCATGGTACATTCTCCAGGACAGACCACATATTAGGTCACACATCTAGTCTCAGCAAATTTTTTATAAATGAAATCATTTGAACAATTTTTTCAGACTACAATGGACTAAAATTGCAAATAAACAATAAACAAAACTCTGGAAGCTATACAAACACTTGGGAACTAAAAAACAGGCTTCTGAATAAACTATGGGTCAAAGAAGAAATTAAACAGGAAATCAAAATATTTCTAGAAACTAATGAAAATAAAGACACATCATACCAAAATCTGTGGGATACTGCAAAAGCAGCACTAATAGGGAAATTTATTGCAATAAATGCTTATATCAAAAGAAGAGAAAGACTTGAAATAAACAACCTAGGACTACACCTCAAAGAAGTTGAAAATAACAACAATCCAAACCTAAAGGTATTAGACGGAAAGAAATAATTAAGATCAGAGCAGAACTAAATGAAATAGAGACCGAGAAAAACAATAGAAAAGAACAACAAAACAAAAAGTTGGTTTTTGAGAAGATAAATAAAATAGACAAACCATTAGTTAGGTTAACAACAGCAACAACAACAACCAACAAAAACAAATGGGAGAAGAATCAAATAATAAAAATCAGAAATGAAAAGGGAGACATTACAACTGATACCACAGAAATACATAGAATCAGTAGAGACTATTATAAACAAATGTACGACACAAATACAAAAATCTGGAAAATATTTATAAGTTTCTAGATGCATACAAACCACCAAGACTTAACCAAGAAGAGATAGAAAACCTAAACAGACCAATAACAAGCAAGGAGATTGAAGCAGTAATTAGCAATCTTCCAACAAAGAAAAGTCCAGGTCTGGATTGTTTTACAGCTGAATTATATCAAACTTTTAAAGAGGAGTTAGTACCAATTCTCCTCAAACCATTCCAAACAATTGAAACAGAACCTACTTTCCCAAAGTCATTCTATGACACCAACATAACTCTGATTCCCAAACCAGAAAAAGACACAACATAAAAAGAAAATTATAGACCCATACCCTTGATGAACCTAGATGGTAAAATCCACAACAAAATATTAGCAATCAGAATACAGCAATATATTAAAAAAATATACACTATGATCAAGTGGGATTCATCCCAGGGATGCAAGGATGCTTTAATATACAAAAGTCAAAAAATGTTACACATCACATCAACAAGCTCAAGGACAAAGACCATATGATTATCTCAATAGATGCTGAAAAAGCATTTAACAAAATTCAACATGCCTTCATGATAAAGACTCTCAACAAATTGGGTATAGAAGGAAAATGTCTCTACACAATAAAAGCCATTTATGAAAAGCCTACCACCCAGTAACATTCTGAATGGGGAAAAACTGAAGGTCTTTCCCTTAAAAACAGGAACAAGACAAGGATGTCCACACTCACCACTTCAACTTAACATAGTGCTGGAGGTACTAGCCAGAATGATCAGGCAAGAGGAAGAAATAAAGGGAATCCAGATTGGAAAAGATGAAGTCAAACATTCTCTATTTGCAGATGACCTGATTGTATTTATAGAAAAACCTAAAGACTCTATCAAAAAACTTCTAGAGCTGTTTAATAACTTCAGTAATGTTGCAGGATAGAAAATAAATGCCCCTAAGTCAGTAGCATTTATATACTCAAATAATGAATCAACAGAAAGAGAAATAAAGTAAGCCTATTTACAATTGTCACACAAAAAATTAAGATATCTAGGGACCAATTTAACCAAGGAGATGAAAATCTCTACAATGAGAAATACAAACCACTTCTGAAAGAAATTAAAGAGGACACAAAATGATGGAAAGATATTCCATGCTCTTGGATTGGAAGAATTAACATTGTGAAAATGTCTATACTACCTAAAGCAATCTACAGATTCAATGCAATCCCCATCAAAATACCTAAGACATTCTTCACAGAAATGCAAAAATAAGCCCTATATTTCATATGGAAAAAAACAACAGACCCCCAAATAGCCAAAGCAATCCTGAGCAAAAGCAATAAAGCTGGAGGCATAACACTGCCTGACTTCAAATTATACTACAAAGCTATTGTAACCAAAGCAGCATGGTACTGGTATAAAAATAGACATTCAGACCAGTAGAGTAGAATGGAGAACCCAGAAAACACCCATCAGACTTAGAGCCATCCGATATATTGAACGAAAGCAACAAAAATCTACATTGGGGTAAAGACTGCCTCTTCAACATGTAGTGCTGGGGAAATTGGACATTCATATGCAGAAGAATGAAACTAGATATGCATCTCTCACCATACACTAAAATAAACTCAAAATGGATTAAAGACTTAAATATAAGACCTTAAACTGTAAAGTTACTAAGGGAAAATATAGGTGAAAAACATCAGCAATTAGGCCCAGGCATAGGCTTTATGAACATGAGCCCTAAAGCACAAGCAACAAAAGAAAAAATAAACAAATGGGACTATATCAAACTCAAAAGCTTCTGCACAACAAAGGAAACAATCAAGAGAGTGAAACGACGACCTACAGAGTGGGAGAAAATTTTTGCTAACTATACTTCTGACAAGGGATTAAGATCCATAACATACAAGGAACTTAAACAATTATACAGTAAAAAAAAAAATAATAATAATTAAAAAAATAATCCAATCAAAAAACGGGCAAAGGAACTGAATAGACATTTTTCAAAGGAAGACATAAAAATGGCCAACAGATGTATGAAAAAATGCTCAACATCACTGTTATCAGGGACATGCATATTAAAACTACATTGAGATACCACCTCACCCACCCCAGTTAGACTGGCTATAATCAAAAAGATGGCAAATAACAAATGCTGGTGAGGGTGTGGAGAGAAGGTAATGCTCCTGCACTGTTGGTGGGACTGTAAATTAGTACAACCACTATGGAAAACAGTATGGAGGTTTCTGAAACAATTACAGATAGATCTTCCATATGATCCAGCAATCCCTTTTCTGAGTATATACCCAGAGGAATGGAAATCATCATGTTGAAGGGATACATGCACTCTCAAGTTCATCACAGCTCTGTTTACCATAGCCAAGATATGGAACCAACCTTAATGTTCATCGATGGATGAGTGGATAAGGAAATTTTGATATACATACACCATGGAATACTATGCTGCCATAAGAAAGAATGAAATACTCCCATTTGCATCAACATGGTTGAACCTGGAAAAACTTATGTTGAGTGAAATAAGCAAAGCACAGAGGGATAAATACCACATGTGCTCACTTGCATGTAGGAGGTAAGAGAGAAAGAAGGAAAGAAAGAAAGACCACAATAGTGCATTGCTCTTGCAGAGTGGGAGAATATTCCTTGGCCAACAAAGTGGATTGGGGGGAGGTAAGGGGGAAGGTGAGGACGTTGGGGATAATTGGGTGGTGCATACAGGGTAAAAATGCAATTTCTGGTAATGGGTATGCTGGCAATATGAAGCTGGCCCTCACATCATGGGGATGAGGGGGTGACAATTAGCTTTGTATCTCATGAATATTCATACTGAAAATATAAATTTAAAAAAATCCACAGGAAGGAATCAAAAATAGTAAAGAAACAAGATAGAAACTAGAAGTAAAGAAACAAAAGTGCTTACTTCAATTTATATGAGGTTCAAGTCCAGGAAAACCAAACTGTTGGGATAGAGGTTGGAGTGATGTTAACTTGGTTGACTTAGGGGAGCAGTTACTGACTGGGAAGGTGCATTGGGGAAGAATCTGGAGAACCTGAAATATCCAGTAGTTTCATCTGCATAGTGAATATACACACTATATATAAAAAAAGAAAAAAACAGAAGGAAACACAAATTTATCTCATTTAAGTAACATAGATTTATCTTTATTGGTTTTCCTCTAAAAGCAAAGAAAATTTTATGTCACTTTACTCACCAGGGAAGCCCAAAGAAAATTTTATGTCACTTTATTATGTCACTTTACTCACCAGGGAAGCCCCTACCCTCCTACTGGCTCTTTTCACACTGCTGCACTCACCAGGGGATTTGCATATTGTCCCCCAAGGGAGGACATTCCCCTGCAAGTCTGAGATAAAAGCTCAGCTCTAACCTTGCCTTGACTTATCAGGACTCCTCAGTTCAACTTCTCAAAATGAGGTTCCCTGCTCAGCTCCTGGGGCTGCTGATGCTCTGGATCCCTGGTAAGGGCGGAAGAGAGATGAGGAAGGAGTATGGGTTGGGAGGGTGAGCTCCAGGGCACAATCGCTTCCCATGTGTGATTTGTGCACATGTGAGATGTGCACATCTTGTCCTCCAGGATGGGACATGTGATGTTTAGATCTATGAGAATGAGAAAGATTCCAGAAGGAGCAAGAACCTCTGCTCTAGCGAAGACTGTGACACAGAGAGTGGAAGATGGTATAGGTGACTTCTAGAGAGAGTTTATGCCTTTCAGTTGTCTGTTAAATTTTGAAATTTGGCAATTTTTAGCATATGAATCAAAATCACACAAAAATTAGTTAGCTGGAAATAAATAATAGAAGGAAATTATAAAAAAATGCCTATAATATCTGTACTACTTTGTGCTTCTCTATTATTCCTTTAGGATCCAGTGGGGATGTTGTGATGACCCAGACTCCCCTCTCCCTGCCTGTCACCCCTGGAGAGCCGGCCTCCATCTCCTGCACGGCTAGTCAGAGCCTCCTACATAGTGATGGAAATACCTATTTGAGTTGGTACCTGCAGAAACCAGGCCAGTCTCCACAGCTCCTGATCTATAAGGTTTCCAACAGGTTTTCTGGGGTCTCAGATAGGTTCACTGGTAGTGGATCAGGGACAGATTTCACACTTAAAATCAGCAGGGTGGAGGCTGAGGATGTTGGAGTATATTACTGCATGCAAGGTACAAAAACTCCATCCACAGTGATACAACCCCGAACACAAACCTCTCTTCTTGGCATGGTCCAGCTGCCCACATGCGTGGCTTGTGGGGGAGAGCAGCCCAGCAGATTTTCTAAGTCTCTGAAAGAGGAAGTTGTAGGAGAACTCAGGGGAATAGCTTGCTGCTGGGTCTGTGGGCCATGAGACCCTCAAGCACACTCCAGGCACCACCTGTTAAGGTGTTATCAGCTGCAGCAGCCTTACCTGTCATAATTATCAGGAGAAGGAGGTGGTTCAGGGGTCCTGTGAGTAAATAGACTTGATGGAAGGGACAGGGGAATGAATTAACACTTGTCAATTTAATTTTATCAACATTCCAGCCAAAAAGTGACACTGATTTGTGGCAATACATAATGAATACATGTTGGAGCTTAGCAGTTTTTGGTATATTTTAATTATGATATTTGGAAATATTAATAAATTAATATTTTACCACTTCCCTAACATGCTACTTCCATTGATTTGTCTGAGGTTACTATCCTTGACCTAGGAGATAAGGACTCCAACCCTGAGATAACATCCAGGGCTTGAAGCTGACCAGTCCACCAGCTACATACTTTATGTAGGTGAAACACCCAATCCACCATGGGACCCTGATCTCTGACTCAGACCATCTGCTGATCCCAAGCCTCCCCCATTTCTTGCAGTACAAAAACCCTTACCTCATCTTCCCGCCCCTTCCCCTTTATGAACCCATAACAGACATGAGAAGGAAGGATGATTTTAGGCCGGCCATCGCCTGGACACCAGTTATCTAAATAAACCTTCCTATCCTTGCACCAGCTTTTGGAATTTTGAGTCTGACATTGTTGGGTGTGTGTGTGTGTGTGTGTGTGTGTGTGTGTGTGTGTGTGTGAAAGGGCAAGCCGAGCCTGGTTTGCTGGTAACACTAGTGCACTGAGAAGGGCTTTGGACCTGTAATCATAAAAGGTTTAGTGAAGTCTGCGCAAAGAGACCTGAGGTCATGTCACTCAGTGATAGCCAGACTGAGATGCTAAGGAGACCTTCTGAAACTCATTCTATCCCAAGAGGCAGGATAGCAGAGACCACATGGCTGTGTTTGAGAAATGTAACATGCAGTGATGTGCTAACTGGAAGGCCCAGCATGGCTTACACCAAGAGAGGAGCAGTGGGGATGAAGACCAATGTCCATGACTCAGACATATATTAAGGATGTTCTGTGCAGCCTTGAGGAAATAAAAATTACTTTGAGCCTATGGGAGATTTCTGCCTCTAGCCTCCTAACAAACTCAGACATCAGCAAATGTTCCATGCAAACCACTGGCCATGTGTAGATTTTGCCTTGTGCAACCCCTGAGGCTTAGCTGGATTTCCCTTTCCCAGAAGGGTTCCTATGCCTGTGCCAAGGCAGAACTTGTGTCCAGATGGAAATTTGTGAAATATCGCAGGAGACAAAATGTCAGGTCAGCATTTGCTCAACTAGACAGGGTTCTTTTCACTCTGGTATCTTAGATCACCTAGACATCACTTTCTTCCCTGTATTCTCGTGTTATTAATATATAGCTTTTGTATTTTATTATTTTAATCTTTAGTACCTTTTGCAATGGCTCTTGTGGCTATTCTATACCTATATTTTTATACCTGAGAATGAAGATTCCTTGCATTTTTTAATCTAAACAACGTTTTAGAGGTGACAATGTTGCTACTATATTGCTATATAAAAGAAAAATGTTTTCAAACAAGAAAGAAATGCATTATTTTCATAGTACGTGGCAAATACTTGAAAATGATACTGATTCCTACCTTGTAGAAGTAATGCTATAGAAAATATGTGCTTTAATATATTATGTTTAAAATGGTTATATAAGAATATTTCTAAATTAGTGATAAGCATGTCAGTTACATGCTGTGACATGGTATAATTGAAGGAAAATAATGTTTGAATCAACATGGTAAGAAAATTCTGATTTTGGTTTAGGAAATATATAAAATTTGTTATGCCAAGATATCAGTTCCATGACAAGTATGATTAAGAATATATTCTTAACCAGACAGATGAAATATAAAGTAAAAAAAAAAAAAAAAAAAAAAAAAAAAAGAAAAAAAAAAAGTCTTACAGAATGAAATTCTTCAGAGTGTCTTTCTACTCACC